TTCAACACCGACAGCCAGGAGCGCCAAAGTACCGCACGAAATTGCATGAGCCAAGAGGTTTTGTACGTAAACCCATTCTCGTCTTCCCTGGATAAGCCATTGGGCTTCTTTAGTTTCTGAAAACTTTGCTCCATCTCGCGCGAGACTCTGATAAGTAGAGAGAGTTATGTTAAAGCTTCGATAAGCTGGTATATGAATGAACCTACTTTCCCACAGCGAAGTTGTCACAAATTTTGGCTATACGTTCACGTGACTCAACTTCTCGGCCTGGTACTACGGCTAAAAGTTGTACATAAAAGTCTGCAGGGTTGTAATTGGTCGGACACTGAGCGCCAATGCTGCGAAATAAGAAAGAAGTCAAGAAACAATACGACATATGGAGTTATATTTCCTCAGTTATGGGATTCACAAGACGTGTTAAAGGTCGTAAAATCTTAAGCTTAACATTTGTTTATGTAAAATAACGGTTAAAATGGTTTTAGGAGGGGCTAATTATATATATTTTAACAGTTTAAAAACATTTCTGTATGTTAAAAATATTCTAAATCCAGTTTAATCATTGTTTTACATAAAAAAATGTTGAGCGTAAGATTTTACGACGGTTAACACGTCTTGTGAATCCCCTAAGTGTTTATTGCAGATTAGGAAATATGAAATTTACAGCCTTATTATGTATCTCGAACGATAGGCCGCACGAACGAAATCGTGTCTGATTGGAATTTTATTACTATTGTTCGTCTTCGTCTTGCCTTACGTAGATTATGTTTAAATCGGCTAGAATGATGTCGCCGGACAAATTTTTGACGCATTCCTCTGCAGACGAATTGTTCGTGCGGTCAATCGTTTGAGATATGTAATAAGGCTGTTATTATATTTTAAGACCTCCGCCTAAATATTTCGGAAAAATATTCAGATTTCTGTGAGCTGGATCTATTTGAAAATACATACATAAATAAATATAGTTTTTTTTAATAAAATCGATTTACAATTTATTTAATCACCTCGGATGGTAGAAGAGTTTAAGCTTAAGAAGTCTGCATAAAAATGTTTTAAAAATTTACCAACGGACCCAAAATAATGAAATTTTTGAAGGTATTAATTGGAAAATCCGAAACATTTTTGGTGATGCACCCTAAAGTAAAATCTCCCGTACTCACTATGAGAAAAAGTCCACCGCCTCTCCAGGTGTACCCAAAAAGGCCACTCGACCTTCCGCCATCAACAGAATCTTGTCGAAAAACTCAAATAACTCGGTTGACGGTTGGTGTATAGTCAGTATAATGGTTTTCCCTTTCTGAGACAACTTCTTCAATACCTGTACAACGCTGTGTGCCATAAATGAGTCCAAACCCGATGTCGGCTCGTCACAAATCAGCAACGGTGGATCCGTAAGTGCTTCCGAGGCGAATGCCAAACGCTTGCGTTCACCGCCGGACAAACCCTTGACGCGTCCCGGCACACCAATCAGCGTATTCTGACATTTCCCCAAAGAGAGATCCTGTATGACCTGATCAACGCGTTGCACCTTCTGCTTCTGGGTCATGTGCCGTGGCATGCGCACCATTGCATGGAATATAAGATGCTCGCGCGCGGTAAGCGAACCAATGAATAGATCATCTTGTTGGACATAGGCACAACGTGCTTGCATCTCCTTGGCATCGATATGTTGACCGTTGAGCATGCGGACACTGGATGGCGAAATTTGTACACCTTTTGAAGAGCGAAAGGCAATCGCGTTGAGGAGTGTGGTTTTGCCGGCGCCTGAGCTGCCCAACACAGCAAGTAATTCGCCAGGGTAAGCGACACCGGAGACTGGAAGGGGAAGGTAAAACGCGGAAATTTAAATAAATAAATCCATGTGTTTTTATTTATGAAACTCACCATTTTTGAGCAGATGCTTACGCGGTGCGGGTATATGCCGTTCGTTGCAGAAAACGCCTTTCACCCGATTTAACAGCTGCTTCCAACCCGAGCCAGGTTGATGTACCGTCCCAAAAACATCCAAATTATACCAGGAGTAAGTGAGATTATCCGCAGTAAGCGTAGGCGTCGATGGTGAGAGTGTACCGTAATTTTTGCTAAAACCTTGATTTATGGAGGACTGCTCGTTGGACTGCTCGTTACTCTGCAAGGCAAGCAAATTAGATTTTATGAGCTTTCACGAAATTAGGTGCTAATTTTTCTTTTTTGACTAGATGGTGAAAGATGCAAAAATTGGGTACGAAATTTGAAAAACCCTCAAATAATTTCCAGCCGTAATCCTCAGTTGACTTACATATAAATTGGAGTGTGTTGTAATAAAAGGAACAGAATGTTTCGAATCTCGAAAGCAGGGCAAGTTTATGGCTACGTTGGCCATTGTATTCTGGTTTTTGTGGACAATTTTAATTGTTTATGAGGTCACATCTGAGCTTCTCTGTGCATCTCTTCTTTTTGCGTTTTTTTCCCTTAAATAGCTTCTATAGTTAGTATTTTATTAATACATTTTATTTCCTAGAATTTTGTATCTCTATACCACATTTTTTAGAAGCAAAAAAATTTCAAGGATATTCAATGGCAAATAGTGCAAAGGACATTTTCCATACCTAATCGTCCTTATGCATCAAAAAATTTAATCGGCCTTAATTCTACAGAATTTTCTCCTTAGTTTGATAGTCATACTGGTTTTGTACATATATTTTTAAAATTTCGAAGTCCTTCAAAAAAAATCCTGAAGTCAGAGAGAAAAACTTAAAACGCAGTTTTACTATATTTGGGACATGGTTTCGCGAATACATATATAAAATTTTTTGTGTGTAAAATTTACTGTCGCACGGTGTTATCTATAAAAGGGATTTCTAAGCCAGAACCTGTTCTGGCACTGTCGAGGAAATTTCAGCAACAGAAATCTAGTCAGGCTCCAGACGGCATCAGGGTTCCAGCCGGGCAATTACAACTGACTATTCTCATTTCCAAATAAGGATTTCGCAGTTCCATTTGACGCTTTCTCATTTACAATTGGCTATTCTTATGTCCAATTGACAAATCTGATTTTCAAATAACGCTTTCTTATTTATAAATTACCATTTCTCATTTAATTCATAATTTTTAGAAAGGTTTTTTATGTTTTTTTTTCTTACCTTATACAACTTTTATATTTTAATATTTTATTGTTTTATTGTTTTAAAAGTCACATATTTCTAAAGTTTTATTTAATTTTTGCGAACTTATTTCATTTATGTTTTTAAATTAGATTATCTTTTAATTTCTAGATTTTATTGTTTTAAAATGAAATTTATTTTTTGAATTTCCTTTAATTTTTAAAACCTTTTTTTTTGTTGTTTTTTGATTAATTTTTTCTGCTCTTAATTTAATTTTCTTTTAATTGTTAGATTTTGTTGTTTTAAAATGATTTTTTTTTATTTCAATTAACTTTTAGGAAGTGTTTTTTTGTCTTAATTTCTTTTGTTTTCTATTTTCAAATTTTTTTTTTGGAATACATACTTAGTTCTATTGTTTCCTTTTATCATTTTTCCTATTTATTTTAATTTTTAGAAAACTTACAGCCGGTTTCTCCAGAAATTTAAATGGAAAATTATTTTTTATTTTCTGTGAATTTTCATAATGAAGTGAAGATATGTAGTTGCCAGAATTGACAATTGTCTTAAGAAAGTCTTTTGCTAGGGCTTTATCTGGTCTAGTTCGGGGCCATTTCGGGCCTAGTTCGGGACCACTTTTCTTATCTTACAATTTGGTTGACAAATACACTACACCTGATCGTTTGACATATTTACCAGAATCTACCAGCAAAATATCCCCGGACTTAAATTGGTAAGTTTTGATAAAGAGAGTGCGTCATTTGCTCTCTCTTAATAGCGTTCTCTTTTCCTAGTTTTTCGAGCACGTGATAGATTTCCAGTAAGACCTGGTAAAAAATGGCAAGTTCGGAGTCGTACGAGATCGCAACTTTTTTTTAGGAGTTGTTGTGACAAGAGGCGTTTGAAAAGCAGCTTTAAATATGGGCCTTTATTTCTTTTAACAAAATTTCAATGTGTTGATCTAAATACATATATGTAGATTAAGGTTCCCAGAAAACGGATAGAAAAAAAGCAGTACAAACATAACAAAAGGAGTGCAATTTTTTTATAAATTTTTTGTGCAATTTATTGTTACAAATTACCAAAAAGTAAATATATGTATAATCACATATTTGAGATCGTTTTCATTAATTAGATATTGAAAGATATCTTTTAGGAAGCAGTCAATTGACTTTTCCTGCATGTATTTTCAAATGAATGGCTTAAACGACTTTAAAGTCAGTATGTTTCGTTTGAATACGCTTTGGTTCTGCACTTACCAGATGCTTTTTCATACTTCCAAGACACAAATCGTTTTTTTGAGCAAAAAGAGTATACAAATTCGAAACATTTACTCATTGCATTTGTTTTAAAGTAGTCTTTCAATTAGTTGATTAAAAAAAAAATCATTTGTTGCCGTCAGGGTAGTGTTCGCCACAATATGAATGAATAAACAATAACAGTCGCACAGGTTTTTTGAAAAATAAAAGGGTCCTTTATAGATTTTGCGAAAAAAAGTATTTTATTGTTAACTTTGTAAATATTTTACTTTAATTTTATTGATTAGTTTTAAAATTTTAATCCTTATTTGCATTTGCCACTTTGGGATATTAGAACATATCTTTTTCAGGTGTATCCTTTCTTAGATTTTGTATAAAAAACAGAAAAAAATAAAAAAAACTGTATAGCGCAAAAATACTTCTGCCGCTCTTTTCTGGCAACACGGAAAGAAGAATTCTATTTAGTGAGGGTTATAATCTAAAATTACATGAGGGATTTGGAATTTTGTCGCATTGCGTTTGTAAATATATTACTCCTTATATAGTGACATAACCCCAGGTAAAAAAATTGGGTTTAATCCCAAATTTTAAAATCTGAGTTATGCCACTTGGGGCTATGTCACGGCACCGATTGCTGAGTAAGAGGCCTTATGTTGGACTCAAATGGAGGAAATTAGCCTATGGTTACAGAAGATATATAATAAAGTAACCGACGAAGACTTGCGTGCCGCTTACGCTTTTCTGTCAAAGTGTTTACCACTTGTAAACCCTAATAAAGGTTAAAAATTAAAAAGTAATTAATAAAACTTAAGTAAAATCTGTAGAAAATTTACAATAAACCATTTTTCGCAAAATCTATAAAGGACCCTTTTATTTTACAAAAAAACAAAAACCTGGCGACCGTTATTACTTTCCACCCTGTATGTGATAAAAAATTAATACATAGCTGGAAAAAGGAGTAAAAAAGAAGTACAAAACTAAAAAAGGAGTAAATTTCCAGATTTTTTCTTTTGGGAGTACAAGGGAGTACAGTGCAATTAAAAGGAGTACCTTTAATCCCAAAAGCAGTACGTATGCCAACCCAGCAACACTCCTCATACAAAAAAAAAATTGGTTCTGTTTTTCCATTGGAATTATAAAATCTATTATATTTTAAGACGTCCACCAAAATATTTCGGAAAAATATTAAGATTTACGTGAGCTGGACCGATTTGGAAATACCTCCAAAAACGGAGTTTTTTTTATGAATGAGAGCAGTTTCTTACAGATGTTTTTTTTTTAAAAATGCCCTCAAATGACAAAACGGTTTAAGCTTAAAAAATTAAAAAAAAAATAATTAAAAAAAAAAAAATTTTGATTGGAATTGTAATGATGAGATTTTTAATGCTGTTTTTTAACTTTTTTCAAAGATTGGTATTAGAGAAACTTGAATAACTGAACCTAAACTCTTCCTATTTAGACTTGTGGGCTATCATTGGAAAGGTGTTTTCTCATTATTTAAGTTTTTCTTAAATCAGTCTTTGACAAAAGTAAAAAATAGCATCAAAAATCTCATTATTACAATTCCGTTGAAAAGATTTTTATATACTTTTATGCAGATTTTGTAAGCCTAATCTGGTTTGTCATCTGAGTGGACTCTTTTCAAAAAGTTCTTTAAGGAACTATTTTTATTCATAAAAAAAACTCCATGTTTGGAGGTATATTCAAATCGGACCAGCTCGCTTAAATCTTAATATTTTTCCGAACTATTTTGGTGAACATCTTAAAATATAAACAAATTTGTAATCCCGGCGGAAAAGACGCAACTTTTTTTTTGTGATGCAGTCTAATGCACATATATGTATCTCTGAAGGAATTTTTTCACGAAAACTTGGGTAATGACTTTTAGAACAAATTTCTTCTGCACAAGTGGGTTATATTTTGCCAAGGTCACGATTAAAATTTTGCTACGAAGTCGTCCTCTCGCTTTAACTGTGAAAATAAAACAAAACATGTTAACAAAATTACGAGTTTATTTTCAGAAAATATGCATACAAAACTAATTATGTATTTAAAATCGAAAAAATTGCAACTAAACGTAATTCTCATCCATCCGCCGCTCACTCCTTGCGGCGAGCGCGTAAAGTCAGCGCTATATACGCGGATAATCGGAAACCCACAATCAGCAAAGCCAATCCGATGAAATCGAAAGGCAAATCATTCGCCGAAAAATTCAGTGTCTCCAATATAACTTCGCCTGAGCTTGGACAAGTGGTATTCGATAGAGTACAAGTTATTTCACCCGGCTTCACATCTGCCCATTGATTAATCAGCAAACCTTCATTGGCATAACGGAACCACGATAAATACGACAGCCACTTGAAGTACGCCGGCACCGAGCCGGAGTTCAAAAAGAAGCCACCGAAAAGAAGAAATGGTATAATAACTGGTGGACCCACCGAAAGGGCCATAGAAGTCGATGAGCAGGCGCAGGAAACTAAGTAACCAAATGATGTTGAAACATTGGCCACCAGAGTAACAAGCGCCAGTGCTATGAGAAAATGGTCGATGCCAGCACGTAAGCCAATGAGTGGATATGCAATGGAGGTGAAGAGCAGCGGAACGATCAAAAAGAGTGGTAGTTCGGCAATTGTCTTACCAAGAAAGTATGTATCGCAGCGGTAAAGACGACTACGCGTCTCGCGCATAAATACCGGCAGCTCCGAAGTGAATACCTGCGATGAAGAAGCAATCGACGTTAAAATGTATGTATGCATGTATTTGAGTAAGAGACTTACAGTTATGGTAGCGAAAGCATTTTGAAAGGTCATGTTGGTCAGAAACAAGAAAATGGCACCGTTGATGTTCATAACGC